GTGGGAGGAACCTGGTTGGAGGTTATTGAATCATAGGGGTGTGTCTTTCCCATGCTGGTCTCATGACAGTGAATAAGTCTCATGAGATCTGATGGTTTTTAAAATGGGAGTTTCCCTGCACAAGCTCTCTTCTTTTGTCTGCCACCACCTGAGATGTGCCTTTCACCTTCCGCCATGATTGTGAGGGCTCCCCAGACATGTAGAATTGTAAGTCCCATAAACCTCTTCCTCTTGTAAATTGCCCAGTCTCAGTTATGTCTTTATCAGCAACGTGAAAACAGACTAATCCATGGGGGTACCATTCAAAAGCCTGAAAGCTGGAGAGCGATGGTGCAGATTCCCATCTGAGTTTGAAGACCTGAGAACCAGGAGCACTATGGGCAAGAGAAAATCAGTGTTCCAGCTCAGCAGTCAGGTCAGGAGCAAATTCTACCTTCCTTCATTCTTTTGTTTCATCCAGGTCCTCACAGACCAGATGATGGCCACCCACACTGGTGAGGGTGGTCCTCTTCATTCAGTCCACCAACTCAAATGCTCATCATTTCTGGAAACACCCTCACAGACACACCCAGAAATGATGTATAACCAGATATCCAGGCATCCTGAAGCCCAGTCAAGGTGACACACAAAATTAACCACCAAAAATAAAGGATGCCCAGATGCCTCTCAAAATTTTTAGAGGCATCGTTCAAGGATCCTTCTGATCCAGCATCTGCTTACCTGTCTAGCCTGAACAGTTACTCCAAAGAATCATGCTCTCCTCCACTTTGCAGCCTTTGCACATGCAATTCCCATTGCTCAGAACTCTCCCTCAGTTTTCCACCCCACCTCTCACCTGACCAACTCTTATTCATCCTTCAAGTCTCAACTTGAGCACCATGACCTCCTGGAAGCAATCTTTTTTTTTTTTTTTTTTTTTTTTTTTTTGAGACAGAGTCTCACTCTGTCACTTGGGCTGGAGTGCAGTGGCACCACCTTGGCTCACTGCAACCTCCCAGTGAGGTTGAACCACCTCCCAGGTTCAAGCAATTCTCTGCCTCAGCCTCCCAAGGAGCTGGGATTACAGGTGCCCACCACCACACCTGGCTAATTTTTGTATTTTTAGTAGAGACGGGGTTTCACCATCTTGACCAGGCTGGTCTTAGACTCCTGACCTCATGATCCACCCACCTCGGCCTCCCAAAGTACTGGGATTACAGGCGTGAGCCACCGCACCTGGCCGGGTGCCTTCTCTGCATTCTTTATCATGCCTTCCACTTCCTGATCGTTGCCTTGTCACAAAATTTTTCTAGTGTCTTTCCTCTCAAGACACTCTAAGCTTGATGGGGGTTGTTCATCAATGTGTCCCCAGTGCATTGTACAGTGCCTGGTGCATAGTCATGGCTCAATAAACAAGTGTGATAAATGCAAGACATACATAGATATGAGAGGTATCTATAGAGAGAACAAAATGCATGCATGGCACCTGCATCACTTCACTTACCACATATTTAATATCATTCACACCTAAGTTTAAAACCCTACCATATTCTGAAACAGAAAGTTAAACTCTCCTAAAACTGAACATTTGCAGATGATGGCATTGCTAACAGCAATCTGATACAGTAACAGTTTCTGGCATATGCAGCTCATTTTAACAGATGCCTGTATGACATACAGAAAGCTGTCAGGCATGCTCCAAAAAGAAAAGCCATCCAGTTCATGTTCCACTTGCCAAATTAATTTCATTTGACATTTAATTTATATCCTGAGGTACTGTGGATTTAAAACTTGACTATGATAATAGCAGATTAGAGAAGTGTTCTATTTGACAAAATCAATTCATCAAGTTACTTTTATTATGAGGAAGGCCGTCTTGATATAGATATCTCCAGATCAAATATGCAGACCATCTAAAAATACATTTATTGATTCTTTCTAATAAAATACAAGCTTTCTCCTCTTTCTTATGTCTAATGTTAAGTGAAGTAAAGCTTGCACCTGCTCACCATAATAACAGAGAAAGGAGACATTAGAAAGTCAGAATGGTGTGGGTTTAAAAGCTAGAAAGCAGAGTTGAAATTCTCCATCAGCCATAGAGGGTTTCAAACCCAGCCACATATTAGACTCAGCTGGGGATTAAAAAAATAATAATAATAGCGCCCGGTCCCACCCCAGATAAAGTGAGTCAGAATCTCCAGTATGACATGGATTTTTTTTTTTAAATCCCCAGATGATTCACACACAGATCTATTAGTTATGTGAATTTGGGCATGTAATTCAATATCCTTAGTATATAAAATGGAATGTAGTAGACATTGGCCACAATCATGACGTGACAATCCACTTTAAAAAAAAAACTAACAGTTTATTAGTTGGAATCAGACTTGAAAAAAAGATTTACACATTGCAATTGGTTGACAGTTCCTTTATAACGCTTTCAACTTATAGGTTCACCTCTCTCTGCCTTTTCTTTTTGCTTTGAAATTTACTTGTTGAAACAACTGGATCATTTGTCCCATAGTTTTCATGATCTACAATTTGCTCATTGCATCTCCATGACATCATTTAACATGATCCTCTTTCCCACTATTATTTCTTGTAAATTGACTGACAGATCAAAAGGCTTGGTCAAATTCACATTCGATTGGCAAGACTGGGCAATGATCTACTCCTCTCTCAGAAGCACTTTGTGTCTGTTTGTCTCTGTTTTTATGATGTGAATAGTTATTGATAATTGTCACCTAGATTCATTATTATATCAGTAGCTGCAGAACAATGATGTTCTATTGTTCTGTTTTTATTAGTTAGAATTCTATAAAGACATTTTTCTCATCAGAGTTTAGTTTCCCTGAGAATAATCATGAAAAAAAATGTTGGTTTCTTTATGTGTTTTCTTTATAATTTTTCAAAATAATGAATTGGATCTCTAGTATCCTCCAAAGATGACCAATGAGGGTTATTTTGATTTTGTTCTTGTTTTCTTTAGTATCATTATGAACTCATAGATTTAAACATATTCAACATGTTTCAATTCATTGCAATTATTCTTATTGACCCTCAAATTGTAATGACTATTATTGACCCTCAAGTGATCTGACCCTTTGACTCCCCTCATTACTCTTAGATACTTTCTTTCCTTTCTACCACAACAAGGTGGTCCAGACTGATCTCCTGCCCAGGTCTGGATTCAGCCAATCTCCAAAGAGCCCTCATTTATTTTTGTGGGAAATAGTATTTGAAACCAGAATCTGGGTGCTGGGGTGCTCATTGCTGTTCAGTTGTCCTTGTTTCTAGGCCTTTTAAGTAAACAGAACTAGGTAGGAAATACTTTTCATTTTCCTTAAGATAAAAGCATCATAAGTTCATATTGATATTAGAATTCAAATTCAGGACCAGAAAGTTTTGATTTAATGTCATCTACCTTACAACTGCTTCTGTTTTTGGCAACAACAAAAACCCAAGTTCCCAGCAACACCACATGATTGCGTCTTTGCTTTATTCCACAGTACATATGCAGCACCGTAGCAACACTGACACTGCCAAGATGCTAACCAAACCAACAAACAAAAAGAACCAAAAACAGTTTGTCATGAATTTTGTCCTTAAAGCATATCTTACTAAGATTATACAATTAAATGACTGTGCTATAAAGTCACTTAAAAGAGGTCCACACTGGGTGATGACGTCATCAATTTGATGTGCAATATGCTTTGTTCTGCTTTCAGTTTTTTTACAGATTTCTTTTTTAATTTGATGTTCTATAATTATGTGAAGATCAAACCTTATTCTAATTATACCACCCATTGGCATTGGATAAATGTTAAATTTTTTTTAAAAAATGTTTTATTACAAGCAAGAAGTGTACCTAAACACTGAAAATAGATACGTGAATTATCTTAGAGGGCTGGTCTTTTAAAAAGTAGTAGAATAGTCATTCAATTATCTGAATATGGAAAGTAATACAGATAATTAGTGCATTAACAATCCACTTATACTGAAATTTATTTTGTATTTTGTTACATTGATTTGGCAAAAGTTTCTTTTCCTTATGTTTACTTCTGCTGCCAGAGTAAACTCATTAAGTATTCTGGGATAGGGAAGGTGTAACACAGTAACAACATTCCCCACTACACTTTGATATTTCTGACTCAATGATGAATTACCTTGTAGGATTTTTCTATTTCTCTCAGACTAATACACACTTTGTTTATTCATTCTTCAATGTGGAAAATATTTAGCATTTTCACAAATCTTTTAGAAATATTCAATATATACTACTAATATACCACTAATTTTCTTTCTTTCTTTTTTTTTAGAAGATACAAGAATGTAGCAAGTTAGTGGCGCAAAGTTAGGCACCTTGTTTATATACCAAAACTTCATAAATTACGTAACTAGCTTTCTGGTACTGCAAATAAAGATCATTAATTCCATTAACGGCTGATTTCCCTGAGCTGCAACTATTTGACCCCTATCTAACATAGGGGTCTGTGAATAATCTTTAAATGTATAATTCTACTGCTAGTGTTGAGCTGTAGATTAACAGTAGAAAAACCAGTTTTTCGAATTCACCACTACAACACAATTAAAATCCTCATGAATTATGCTACACGTTAGAAACTCCTAATGGATTGTGAACTCTTTGCTATTCAATTTGATTGTTCAAATGTATAGATTTCTGAACCAAACTAAGGTAAATTTCAGTTCCCATCATATATAAATTCTCTTAGACTAGCAAATGAGTTAACGAGTTACCGCTGGCAGCCGTGTCAATAGATTGCTATTTAGAGATCCAGTCTACTGCAGCCACCGAGGGCCACTCTACCAGTAGCTCCCCCAACACTTGGAGTGGAAATTTGCCATCACTTCTCCACCTGTCTCACACCCCGCCCTCAGCCCCGCCCCCAGCCCCGCCCCCAGCCCCGCCCCTTCCACTGGCCCCACCTCCTGCGCTTTGGCCCGCGCTCTCCACGCCCCTTCCGTTCAGCCAATCGCCGCTGAAGTTTGCAGCAGTGGGACTTCCGTTTCCACCAATGCGGGAGGTTCTTGTTCTGCAGGTCTCGCCTCTTCCAGGAGCTAGGGCCGGAAGATGGCGGCGGCCGCAGAGTTGTCGCTGCTGGAGAAGTCCCTGGGACTGAGTAAGGGGAATAAATACAGTGCTCAGGGCGAGCGACAGGTGAGAAGGAGAGGCGGCGCAGAGGGGAAGAGGTGGACGGGAGCGGGGTCTGCCGAGCTCTGGCAGTACCCAGGCCGGCTACCCAATACCGGCGGAGTGAGGATGCTGCTACCCAGCTCCCCACGTGTCTGCGCCGCGAGCAGGCTGGCACCTCTGGGCCTCGGCCCCTGCCGCCCTACCTCCCGGAGGGAGGGGATAACTAGCTCAGGTCGGGCTCGGCCTGAACTTCACCTCCTGGGAAATCATCCCATTATGAGGAAACGAAACCAGTTGCAGGAGGGTCCTCACAGGGCTCTTAGACCAACCTGGAAGCCCCGCGTTTGTATTCAGTATTAACTGGCTTTTTTGTTTTTAACCGTAATCGCACCTTTCATTCAGTTATTACGCAGCGATTCCGTGATAGCTAACAGGGTGCCAGGTAGCACTGTGCTGGGCCGGGGGAATACAGTGCTGATTTAGGGGAACGTGCTTCCTCCCCTCAGGAAGCTTGCTTTTTGGCCGGTTGGACAAACACTGCAACCATCTAAATTGAAAGAGTGCCACGTTGCACCATAAATGGCAAAGAGAACACCTAAGGAGTCTTGGCCCAATCTAGGCGATTCGGGGAAGGCGTTTCTAAAGCCTTGGGGTATCAATTTAAGTGTGCGACCCACAGAGAATGAGGTATGAGATTGCCTGGTGAGGCACTGTTAAAACGTTTGTGTTTTACAGTTGTTTGTCGTAGAGGGAATGTATTAGAGGTGTTTACAGTTGTTTGTCGTAGAGGGAATGTATTAGAGGAGGAGATTACATCACAAGGTATGAGATTGCTCGGTGAGGCACTGTTAAAACGTTTGTGTTTTACAGTTGTTTGTCGTAGAGGGAATGTATTAGAGAAGGAAATTGGTTGTAGGAAGACTACTTCGGATATGTTTTTTTCGCTCCTTTGAGATATTTTTCCAAATTATGTTTGTTTTTTGTCTTTAATTTTTTCTCTTCTTCATTTGGTCCATGTTGATCTTGTTTAGAAAGTAGTAGTATAGTTTTTATTTAAGTTAACCTGAAGCCTAGAAGGTTAAGTATTCAGCCCTGTGATTGGTGGCAGAGTAGGCATCGGAGCCAAAGTGACCTTCTTTTGGTGTTTCCTCTGCCCCAGTGATGATTCTGTCCCTTCAAGCCCCTACTCGCTAGTTTAGTGTATATATTACATAATACATATATAATATAAATACAATATATATGGCCGAGTGGATAAACATTGCAACCATTTAAATGGGAAGAGTGCCATATATACATACATACATATATATATATATATATATATTTTTTTTTTTTTTTTTTTTTTTTTTGAGACGAAGTCTCGCCTGTTGCCCAGGCTGGAGTGCCATGGCATGATCTCGGACCACTGCAACTTCTGCCTCCCGGGTTCAAGCGATTCTTCTGCTTCAGCCTCCCATGTGGCTGGGATTACAGGTGTGCGCCACCACGCTTGGCTGATTTTTGTATTTTTAGTAGAGATGGGGTTGCACCATGTTGTCCAGGCTGATCTTGAACTCCTGACCTCAGGTGATCCACCTGCCCTTGGCCTCCTAAAGTGCTGGGATTACAGGCGTGAGCCACCGCGCCTACTGTAGTTTATATTTTTTAGGGACCGTTGCCAAGATATGAGTATTATCTAGTATGAGAAACACTCATCAGCAAATAATTTAAAGCACAACATAATAAGCACTTTATGGACTGTCGCGGGTGAGCAGCAACTCTCTGGGGCGGGTGGCGCCAGGGTAAGAATTCACCAGGACAGCTGTAGGTAAAGAAAAGCAGATTTATTAGAGAAAGTATGAAAATATGTTGCGAGAGTGCAACGGGCAAGTTAGTAAGAGAGGCGCTAACCGCAAGGAAACAAAGGCTGGCTGGGGATTTTACGGAATAGTACTTCTGCTGTGTGCTGAAGAGGGGTTTGTGCAGTACTGATAACACTAAGGTTGCAGTGAGCTAACTTGAGTTTTCTATCAGTCAGAGGTCCGGTGATAGCTGGACACGGAAAGATTATTGAGTTATTGGTGCAGAAGGGCTGTGTCCTGGACCATGAAGAAAGGCAGACTTGTAGCTTATCGGCCTTTTCTTTTTGCTTTCCCTTGGTCCCCTCAACCTGACGACTTTTCACTAATTAGGACTCCACATGGAGGAAAACACTGTTGAGGAGTGTGAAAAAGGAAGTTAATTCTGACTATAAAAATGGATTTATAAACTCATGCAAGAGCTGGCGTTTAAGGGATTACGCTTTGAAAGATGTGTAAAACCAATAAATTATGAAGGATTGGGAAGTTTAGGGCAGTAAGTAAACCAGTATGTGGAATGATGCAATGCAAAGTAAACCCCAAATCAACAGTTTGAGGCCCAACTGTGAAGACTTTGGAGTTCAGAGTGTGGTTTTAAATTTTATTTTAATTAAAACATTTTAGCAGTGAGCAGCTAGTGAAAATTTCTGTTTGCTTGTATGGGGAAAGTGCTGGCCATATGTGATAAGATTCAGCCATTTTTTGGGAAGACAGCTGACAGCAGTGAGCCAGCGATAAGGCATTCTCTGCAGCATTACCAATCATAGTTAAAAACTGAAAGCAGTTCAGAGATCCTTATCCAGGAGAATGATTCTCTAAATTATGGTACATCAGCACGTTGACATACAGTCACGTGTTATTTAAAGACAGGGATATGTTTCAAGAAATGCATTGTTAGGCAATTTCATCATTGTGTGAACATTATAGAGTGTTCTGGGGTTTTTTTGTTTTGTTTTGTTTTGTTTTTTGAGGCAGAGTTTCACTCTTGTTGCCTGGGCTGGAGTGCAATGGCATGATCTTGACTCACTGCAACCTCCGCCTCCCGGGTTCGAGCGATTCTCCTGCCTCAGCCTCCCGCCTAGCTGGGATTACAGGCATGCGCCACCACGCCCGGCTACTTTTTGTATTTTTAGTAGAGACGAGGTTTCTCCGTGTTGGTCAGGCTGGTCTCGTACTCCCGACCTCAGGTGATCCGCCCGCCTCAGCCTCCCAAAGTGGTGGGATTATAGGCGTGAGCCACCGCGCGGGGCCAGAGTATTCTTAAACCTAGATAGTATATCCTACTTCACAAACAGTAGGTATGTGATATAGCCTATTGCTCCTTCAGACTACAAACCCGTACTGCATGTGTTACTGTACTGAATAATGTAGGCAGTTGTAACACAATGGTAAGTATTCGTGCATCTCAATATATTGAAACATGGAAAAGGTACAGTAAAAATACTTGACTGTAATCTTAGGGGACTGCCATTGGATATGCCATGCAGAACATCATTATGCAGTACACGGCTATTGCATAATGTAGCCGTTAAAAGTAATTACTTTGAGGACTATGGAACCTTAAAATGAATGTGAAAATAGTGTATGTCTCATAATTGCAACTGCATAAGAATTGTGTACTTTAGGCTATGTAAAGGAAAGAAAATGGATGTTTGAGCCAATAGGACTTTATTCAAACACTGGGTCTGCCATTGCAAACCTAGCGACCTTGGTTTTTATTATCTGTAAAATGAGGATGAGATTACTTACCTTATCTTATAAGATGTAATGATTAGATGAGAAGGTAACTGGGAATTTTTTTAGAGCATGGTTGGGTTGTGGATAATTTATTTTTACAAATAATTGTCTTTAGAGTTAGTTCTGTCCCCTCCCGCCCAGCAATTATGAGTCATTTGATTTCTCTTTTTTCCCTCAAATATACCATACATTCAGTACACACATCTTGATGTTACCACAAAGTTAACATACTCAGGTAACCACCCAGTCAAGGAATAGAACATTACTGGCACCCCTCAGAGGGTTCCATATTGTTTTCTTTCAGTACATTTAATTTATTGGTGATCCTAGAGATTGTGGTTTCATTTGAGTTGAAGGCAGAAGTGAGAAGTCAAGGAGCTATGAATAGTGAATGGAAAGTGGAAAGAACTTTTACCACCTTTACTTTGAAGTTACGTCCTGACTTTGAATCTGTATCCTGTAGAGTATTAATCTCCTTGTAGACTTCATCAAGTCCTGTTGATGTAGGTATATGAAAATGCCTTGCAAAGTGTAAATCATTACAGAGAACAAGATATAATTCGACTGGATGCGGTGGCCCACGCCTGTAATCCCAGCACTTTGGGAGGCCGAGGTGGGTGGATCACGAGGTCGGGAGTTTGAGTCCAGCCTGGCCAACATAGTGAAACCCCATCTCTACTAAAATTACAAAAAATTGCTGGGTGTATTGGCACGTGCCTGTAGTCCCAGCTACTCGGGAGGCTGAGGTGGGAGAATCGCTTGAACCCAGGAGGCAGAGGTTGCAGTGAGCTGAGACCATGCCATTGCACTCCAGCCTGGGTGACAGAGTGAGATTCCGTCTCAAAAAAAAAAAAAAGATGCTATTTCTTTGCAGAAAAAAGCAGCAGTCTTACCAAAAAAAAACAGTTCTTTTTTCATTTGCTTAAGACATTGAGATTGTATAGTTATTATTTGTGTTTGGTCAGTCTTCCCATTAGGTAATACTTTCCATTTTCTTTTACATTTCTCAGAATGCATTATGCTTATTTGTGTATCAAGAAAATTTAAATTAATTGTCAATTTCTTATACACAAGCAAACTTGTGTTGCTATTGTAACAGGGGAAACAAGAAGTCAGGTTTATTTAAATATGATCACTTTGCTATATAATAGGGTGCAAGTAAACTTGATTGAAATTAATACTGTATAATTAGAATTTCCATTTTCTCTCATTGTACGTAGCTTAAAATTACTGTAGTAATATTATACTGATTTTTGCAATGTTAATAGCAGTTTCATCATTAAGCATCTGTTACCACATTGTAAATTATTTAACTGCTATTTTCCAGACTTTCATTTGTTTGTAATTTAGTATCTTAGAGTAAAATCCGGGATTATTTTAAAAAACAGTTGAGGGATTTTGTGGTTACTTAGAAGTTGTAATCGTGATGTGGTCCTTGTTTGTTAAATTCTGTGAACCTTTTTTTTTTCTTTTTAAGATTCCGGTTCTTCAGACAAACAATGGTCCAAGTCTAACAGGATTGACTACTATAGCAGCTCATCTAGTCAAGCAAGCCAACAAAGAATATTTGCTGGGGAGTACTGCAGAAGAAAAAGCAATCGTTCAGCAATGGTTAGAGTACAGGGTCACTCAGATAGACGGACACTCCAGTAAAAAGGATATCCACACACTGCTGAAGGTATCATGGCCTCTCTTACAGGCTGAAATGCATGAACTGTTCATCAGAAATCTCTTTCCCCTCAGATTAAAAAGCTGCAGCTGTTGGCTTTCTTCACCTCTTTCCTTCTGCCTCAGTAGTTTGCATCTGTTATTCCCTCTGCCTGGAACAGACTCTGTCCTCCCCCCGCCCCGCCCTCCCCCTCAGATCTCAGCTGAGGTAGCTGCCTTGGAAACTTTCTTGACTACTTCTCTTTCAGCTGGATGAGGTTCTTTGTTCTATATGCAGTCACGGCACCCTGTGCTTTCCCTTCAGAACCTTTGTCATAGTAATTACAGTATTACAATATGACTTTTCTTGTTTTTTTAATGTGATGCTCCACTCGACAATCCCGATTCTCTAAGAGGTAAAGTACTTTCTTAGAGGCAAGAGAGAATCAGAATCTTTTAGAGTTGTAGTTTGAAAAAACTCTCATCTGAGAAAGCTCACCTTTCCCTGTTTTGAGAATCATTGCTTTAAATTTTTATTTTCAAAGGCATCAAATAAAAGATAATCTACTGGATATAGCTTCAGAGTTACCAAGAATAAAAAAATTCCAAAGTTATTTTTGTTAATTTATTTATATAAAAAGAAAGCAGATTTTAAAAGATTTTGTTGAAGCTTTAAATTTGAGAGAAACTTGAGAGATTATCCAGACAACAGCATATCACTGTAGAAATTCCTTCTGTTTCTTAATTTTATTGTGATTGTTTTATCATGGCAATAAAAGTTGTGCAAGAAAGGTCTTCCTTTATCACGTTGGGCAAAATGGCTCAAACTGTATTCTTGATAGATGCCATCAAGAGAACTGGTAGAAAGTCAGTTTCAGAACTTGGCCCTCTGTATGTCTGTCGTGATCAGCCATTTATTCTTAATACCATGGTGGTCATTCACAGGGACCCTTCTCTTGTGCCCCTACTATTGACAGTATTTCCAGGGGGAAGCAGTCATATCCTCTCTCCAAGTGAATTTGAGATTTCAGGCAAATAAAAAGTGAACACAACCTTCTTTTATAGTTTTCCAAAGGAAAGGATAGTAATGAACTTGATTCTGAAAGATAGGAACAGAATTTCAATGAATTGGGTTTATAAGGTTCAAAAGTTACATTAATAGATGTGGTATTAGAAGCATAGAAGTAACTTCCAAAGTGTTATCTCTGAGACATGTAAATATTTAATTGGGAGCCTCTAATGTATGTGGAGCTGGGCAATTTGCATTGTTTTTGAAATGTATGTGGAGCTGGGCAATTTGCATTGTCTTCCTTGTTTGACCGCAGTCTGCTCATCTGCACCTACAACATAAGCACTTGCAATGCACCAGGATGCAGTTCTAAGGGCTGGTGGTGCATTAGACACAGTTTCTGCCCTTACAGAACTCAGACTGGCAGGTGAGACTGATTATGTATAGAGTGGATTGCAATGTGATTTTGGCCACATGCACAGATGAGAAAAGGGTTGTTTTGTTTTGTTTTGCTATTTTAAAACAGTGTTGTTTTTATTTTAAAAGCAGTAAATATTACAGAATTTAGGAAGTAAAAATAAGCAAATGGAAGACATTTGAAACATCCATAGTCCCAGCAGCAAGAGAGAACTATTAATAATGCTTATGGTCGGCCATCAGATATTTATTAAACCCCTTTCGTGTTTTTTCTATGCTTTTTTTTCCTTTTGTCTGTACTTGTGTATGTATTAAAAAAAAACAAAAACAAAAAATAAAACGGGCACCTACTGGGCATGGTAACCTGTTGGGTTTTTTTTTGTTTGTTTGTTTTGTTTTGAGACAGGGTCTCACTCTGTCACCCAGGCTGGAGTGCAGTGGTGCAATCTTGGCCCAGTGCAGCCTCCGCCTCCTGGGTTCAAGCGATTCTTGTGCCTCAGCCTCCCAAGTAAATGGGATTACAGGCACGCTGGGATTACAAGCGCGCACCACCACGCATGGCTTATTTTTTTGTGTGTTTAGTAGAGATAGGGTTTCTCTGTGTTGTCCAGGCTGGTCTTAACTCCTGAACTCAAATGATCCTCCCACCTCAGCCTCCCAAAGTGCTGGAATTACTGGTGTGAGCCACCTCGCCTGGCCAGTAAACTGTTTTTTTGTTCACTGACAATGTGTTGTCAACACCTTTTTACGTCAACAAGTATTCACTTACACTCTCCTTTTAATAAGATGTTAGTGTTGCATCATACACAATGCAGGGCACTGACTCCCTGAGCAGTTGAAAATCCATTTATAATTTTGATTCCCCAAAAACTCAATTGCTAATATCCTACCATTAACTGCAAGCCTTACCTGTAACATAAAGCAAATTAATACATAGTTTGTATTTTATGTGTGTTATATACTGTATTCTTAAAGTAAGCTAGAGAAAAGAATATTATTAAGAAAATCATGAGGAGGAGAGAATACGTTTACTATTCATCAAGTGGAAGTAGATTGTCATATAGGTCTTTATCCTCATAGTCTTCACTTCACATCGAGTAGGCTGAGGAGGAGGAGGAAGAGCAAGGGTTTGTCTTGTTCTCTTGGGTAGCAGAGGCAGAAGAAAATTTGTGTTTAAGTGGACCTGTGCAATTCCAACCTGCGTTGTTCAAGGGTTAACTGTAATTATACCACAATTTAAATTATGTATCCCTTGGTAGTTACTAGATTGTAGCTAAATATTTGAGCACATTCCCATTGTTTCCTTAGCCTTTTTGTTTTTGTTTTTTTTTTTGAAACAGAGTCTTACTCTGTCACACAGGCTGCAACCTCTGCCTTCTGGGTTCAAGTGATTCTTCTGCCTCAGCCTCCCAAGTAGCTGGGATTACAGGTGCCCACCACCACACCCAGCTAATTTTTTTGTATTTTTAGTAGAGAGGGGGTTTCACCATGTTGACCAGGCTGGTCTTGAATTCCTAACCTCAAGAGGTTTGCCCGTCTTGGCCTCCTAAAGTGTTAGGCTTACAGGAGTGAGCCACCGTGCCCGGCCGCCTTAGGCTAAATTCCTACAAGATAAACTGCTAGGCTAAAAGCTATATATGTTTAAGCTATGTTGCTCATTTGTCCTCTAGAAAAGTAAATCATTATAGTATCGTAGCATAATAGAGCGGCCTCTTCCACAAAACTAACATGGTATTACCTCTTTCTCCTTCACTACCCCAATTTAATTACCAAAACAAGAAAATTTAAAAATTATTTGTTTGAGGCTGTGCGCAGTGGCTCACGTCTGAAATCCCCGCACTTTCGGAGGCCAAGGCGGGCAGATCACTTGAGGTTAGGAGTTCGAGACCAGCCTGGCCAACATGGTGGAACCCTATCTCTACTAAAAACAGAAAAATTAGCTGGGCGTGATGGTGCACACCTGTAGTCCCAGCTACTCAGGAGGCTGAGGCTGGAGAATCACTTGAACCTGGGAGGTGGAGGTTGCAGTGAACTAAGGTCACCCCACTGTACTCCAGCCTGGGCAACAGAGCAAGGCTCTGTCTCAAAAAAAAAAAAAAAATTATTTGCTTATTTTTTTGAATACAATTAATGTGTCATTTTCATACTGCTTATTAGCTATTTTATTGTTTTTAAAAATTTAGATGTATTCTTTGCCTGTGTTTATACTGGGCTGTATAGGTTTTTATTATTTATTTTTAAAACTCTTCCTTTTAGGATATTATGAAAGGGTTTAATTCTTATTTGTCAAAGTTCCATTTCAGTGCTAAAACCACAATGCTAAGTTTAAATGCCTCATAAATAAGGTAGTATATAATTTCAAAAAGCAGGCAGTGCAAAACACTAACGTGTTGAGTCTAGATGGAGGGTATATAGTTGTTTATTTTACTGCTTTTTCAACTTTTTTGTATTATTAGAAAGTTTGATAGATGGAAGGAAAAATAAAAATCAGGTGGAATTGTAGGGGAAGTATTTAAAAAGTTTGACAATAGCATCAGAAAGAATTGTAAAAAAAAAAAAAAAAAAAGGACACAAACGTCAGACATAATTAGTTCTCACCTGTGAATATTTTGAATGTGTGAAACTCTGTCTTTTGGTAGGAAAAATTTTAGTTATATCATGAACCCAGAAAATATTACCTAGTCATCGTTTATAAAAACTACATTTTTAAGAGTCTTGGCCGGGCACGGTGGCTCACGCCTGTAATCCCAGCACTTTGGGAGGCTGAGGCGTGCTGATCACGAGGTCAGTTCAAGACCAGCCTGGCCAATATAGTGAAACCACCATCTCTACTAAAAATACAAAAAATTAGCCGGGCATGTTGTGTGCCTGTGGTCCCAGCTACTTAGGAGGCTGAGGCAGGAGAATTGCTTGAACCCTGGAGGCGGAGGTTGTGGTGAGCCAAGATCGTGCCACTGCACTCTAGTCTGGGCAACAGAGTGAGACTCCGTCTCAAAAAAAAAAAGGTCTTTATCTCTAAAACATGGATATAGATTCTGTTTTTGGAGAAAATATACAAAACTGTTATTGTTTCAGGTCTTTCTTCTTGAAATTAAATGAAGATGTATTTATTTTATTTGAAATTTAATTAAGATATTTAATTTCTTATACTTTCTCAAAGCTGATTTCTCTGAAGATATTTGGAGAGAAATCATATCCATTCAACAGATTACTGTAAAATTTAAGTGGTAGTCCCTAATATACCAATACATTCTACCCTTTCCACCGAAATTTTATTTTGATTCTTCCATGCCTGTCTCATTTGTGTCTATATTCCTTTATGTTCTCATCTGTACCACCTTTAGGGTCCCATATTCATATACGGTTTTGAAAATGACTGTCTTTAAATGAAAATCATAAGAGAAAATGTGTTTACTCTTTATTAAGTGGAAGTGGATTATCATAAAGGTCTTCATCCGCATTATCTTCATGTTGAGCATGTATCATGTTCACTTTGTTTGCAAATTCAAAGAGATTAAATTAAATTCTGCAAACATTTTTTACTGATTGCTGAACCACTATATTCCAGACACTTTGGGATGTTGCTATGGTCTGAATGTTTGACTCCCCCTCCCCAAATTTATATGTTAAAATTCTAACCCCCAAAGTGATGGAGTTAGGAGGTGGGGTCTTTGGGGGTGATTAGGTCCTGGAGGCAGAGCGTTCATGAATGGAATTATTGCCCTAAAAAAAGGCCTGGGAGAGACCTCACCCCTTCCACCAAGTGAAAAGACGGCTGCCTGTGAACCAGGAAGCAAGCCCTTACCAGACACTGCATCTGCCATCACCTTCATCTTAGACTTCCAGCCTCCAGAACTGTGAAGAATAAATCTCTCTTGTTTACAAGCCACCCAGTCTATATATTCTATTACAGTTGCCCAAGTGGACTAAGACAGATGTGATTTGAGAATTGGAACAAAATGCCCTCTCTATAGTTTAAGGAATTCTTCTAGAATAAATACTGTTGATCACTGGACAGTTTTATATCTAGTCTTTAGAGGAGCCTCAGAGAATATCTAATGATAGTTCATATAACTTATTTACAAAATCTTCCTCTGAAGGTTTTATGAATCTGTTGTTTCACTTAATTGACTGTAATTCAATGTAAATTCCTGTTCTGCTAAATTTAAGTGTTAATTTTAAGAGAAGCCAACAGTTTCCATCTCAGGAAATTGACGTATTCATTCTGGTCTGCCAGACAATACCTCTAACAAAAGTAAAAATAGATAAATTGGACTATGTCAAAATTAAACATTTCTGGACATAATCAAAGGAGACAACAGAGTGAAAAGGCAACCCACAGAGTAGGAGAAAATATTTGTAAATCATATGTGTGATAAGGGGTTAATACTCAGAATATGTAAAGAACTCCTACAGCTCAGCAACAAAAAACCCAATATCCTGATTTCAAAAAGTGGCAAAGGACTTTAGTATACATTTAGCCAAAGAAGATATATCAGTGGCCAGCAAGCATATGAAAAGATGCTGGCATCACTAGTCATTAGGGAAATGTAGATCACGTTTACAATGGGATATCATCTCACACCCATTAGGATGGCTACTACCAAAAAAAATCCTGCAGAGTAACGTGTTGGTGAGGATATGAAGAAATGGTAACCCTTGTACATTGTTGGTGGGAATGTAAAATGTACAACTGCTATGAAAAGCAGAATAGCACTTCCTCAAGACATTGATAGAATTACCATATGGTTCAGCAATTGTACTTGTAGGTATATACCCAAAACAATTGAAAACATGGTTTTGAAGAGATGTTTGTACACTCCTGTTCACAGCAGCATTACAATAGCCAACGTGGAAACAACCATGTCTATTGACACAGGAATCGATAAAATGTGGTCTATACACACAGTGGAATATTATGCAGCCCTAAAAAGGAAGGAAATTGACATGTGCTGCCTGCTACATGGAGGAACTTTATATTCAGTGAAACAAGCCAGTCGCAAAAGTACATATATTTTGTGATTGCTGTTATATGAGGTATCTAAAGTAGTCACATTCATAGAAACAAGGTAGAATGGTGGTTGCCAGGACCTAGAGGCAAGGCGAAATGGGTGAATTATTGTTTCATGGATATAGAGTTTCTTAGAATTCTCTAAAGAGATTGAAATTGTTGGAGAATTTTTTGTATTTTAATGGAAAAAATAAGTGTAACTAATGAGCATGAATAACAAAATGTTTCTAAAAACAAAAAGCTAGACTTTAAAATGATCATAGATGGCACTTTGAATATAATTTTCTAATGTTTTCTTGTTTCTTTAAGACTAGTAATGTTTAGCCTATTTTTTTAAAATGAGGTGACTGGCGTATGATTTGTGATTTTGAATGAAAATGTCAAAGAGTAAATTTATTAAATGGCGATATTTTGTTTTCTAGTAGCCTAAATCTTTTAAGTTGTTATATGGTAATTAACTTTATTATTACTGTTTTTTACATTAATATTTGTTTGTTTTTTCTTTTTTCTAGGATCTTAATTCATATCTTGAAGATAAAGTCTACCTTACAGGGTATAACTTTACCTTAGCAGATATCCTATTGTACTATGGACTTCATCGCTTTATAGTGAGTATTTGAATAGTTACTAGCTTTTTTTCTGTAGTGTTCAGAATGATTTTTAAAACTTTGTCTTGAATTTAAATCAGATTTGCATTTTCAGCTTATCAAATAAAAATGAAAGGAATTACCGTATACAAGGTGCCTATGTAAAAACTCCTTTCACATATCAAGTTAACACAGTTGCTTCCTTTTCTTTGACCTTGATTTTCTTCCTATGCTTCTGCTCTTCTTCAGCAGTGACTTCTCTAGCCATGCTTTAGGTTTTGTCATCATCCCCTGTACCCCATATTCCTACCATTCCACCTCTAGATCTTAACTTCAGTATCCCCATTTTCTGTGTAACCACTTGTGATGGTTAATACTGAGTGTCAACTTGCTTGTATTGAAGATGCAAAGTATTAATCCTGGGTGTGTCTGTGAGGGTGCTGCCAAAGGAGATTAACACTTGAGTCAGTGGGCTGGGGAAGGCAGACCCAACCTTAATCTGGATGGGCACCATCTAATCAGCTGCCAGCGGACATAGACAGGAAAACATGAAAAGGTTAGACTGCCTTAACCTTCCAGCCTACACCTTTCTCCTGTGCTGGATGCTTTCTGCCCTCAAACATCAGACTCCCAAGTTCTGCAGTTTTGGAACTCAGACTGGCTCTCCTTGCTCCTCAGCCTGAAGATGGCCTATTGTGGGACCTTGTGATTGTGTGAGTTAATACTTAATAAACTCCTTTATTTATGTATTTATATATTCCATTAATTCTGTCCCTCTGGAGAACCCTGACTAATACACGGCTTATGTTAGCTCTTTTAATCTCTTAGTGTCTAATTTCTATCTGATGTAATTTGACTCCTGTTTTCCAAATCTGTATACTTTCTTCCCCACCCAACCGAGACCCCCTTTTGTGTAACTTCAGCTACATCCTCTTAGTATCTTCAGCTCCTTTGCTTTACCCTACAGTCACCACCTTTTCCCTGTAAGTTCCTGGCTCTTGGCCAGTCCAAATAAATGTCTTCATTCTTACATCCAAGATCCAAGCTGAGCTCTACAGGAGAAATTACAACACTGTAGATTACTGTTTACTATCCAATTATGTTTACTATCCAATTGCAGCTGGGCTCTCATACTGGATCAGCTCCTTTTTTTTTTTTTTTTCTCCCAGGGATACTTCCAAACCTTTACTTCTTTCCTTAAGCCCCTTCCTTCTCCTTCCTCCTTTATCTTTAGTCCTTATCACCAAGCCTTCCTCCATCATTCGACTAGAAAAATGGAGGCTGTTCATCTGAATCCCTTCATTTTCCAGCCTGCCTGATTGTGCATCCTTGTCTATCTTGTCTCCTTTTCCTGGTCTCAGCCTTGCCTTTTTCCTAGACCAATCCATTTGTATTAGTCCCTTTTCATGCTGCTGATAAAGACATACCTGAGACTGGGTAATATAAACAGAAAAAAGGGTTTAATGGACTTACATTTCCACATGGCTGGGGAAGCCTCACAATCATGACAGAAGACAAGGAAGAGCAAGTCATGTCTTACATGGATGGCAGCAGGCAGAGAGGGCTGGTGCAGGGGAACTCCCACTTATAAAACCATCAGATCTCATGAGATTTACTGTCACAAGAACAGCACAGGGAAGACCTGCCCCATGACACAGTTACCTCCCACCAGGTTCCTCCTGTGACATGTGGAAGTTACATTTCAAAATGAGGTTTGGGTGGGTACACAGCCAAACCATATCACCATTCATCTGACTCTTACCTCAATCTCCTCTCCACCTCCTGCCCCCTTTCTGGATCTTTGCTCCAGATTGTATTTCCTTTCTTTTTATTTCAGTCTTGCCCACTACCTACATGGTCAGTCTCTTTATTTTCAATTTGTTCATGAACAATGACATAATATTCAGTATGTTCTTGGCACTGTTCTTCATGCTGTATAAATGTTGACTCATTTAGTCCTAATAACAGCCATATAGGGTAGGCACTAATATTATCAGCCCCATTTTACAGATGAGATAACTGAGGCATAGAGAGGTCAAATGTTTTGAGATTGCCTAAGTAAGTGGTGGAACAAGGTCCAGAAACCAGACACTTTGGCCCCAGAGTGTGTGCTTCCTTACACCCATCTCTCTGCCTAAAAGCTTGGCTCAACTCCCCATCACCCCAACACCCATCTTCCCCTGTGGAAAAAACCAAACTCATGCATTTTTGTGCATTGTGCGCCTCATGCATCCAGTTAGTCAGATCCTGATGTCCAGCTCCTGAATGCCTCTCACATCTGTCTTTTCCTCTGATCCTGATGACATTGCCCAAGTTCCAGTATTTAGAATCTTTTGTTCATCTAAAGAGGATGGACTGTAAGACATGAGATTGGTGACCCCTGGAGCAGTCTTTCTCATGACCGTGTCTTTTTCTTTCTCAAAATAATTAACTCGGCTGGGCGCAGTAGCTCACCCCAGCTACTTTGGGAGGCCAAGGCGGGTGGATCACCTGAGGTCAGGAGTTTGAAACCAGCCTGGCCAATATGGCGAAACACCATCTCTACTGAAAATACAAAAATTAGCTGGGCGTGGTGGCTCACGTCTGTCATCCCAGCACTTTGGGAGGCCAAGGCAAGTGGATCACCTGAGGTCAGGAGTTCGAGACCACCCTGGTCAACATGGTGAAACCCTGTCTCTACTAAAACTACAAAAATCAGCCAGGCATGGTGGCATGTGCCTGAAATCCCAGCTACTCCAGAGGCTGAGGCAGGAGAATCACTTGAATCCAGGAGGCAGAGGTTGCAGTGAGCAGAGATCGCACCACTGCACTCCAGCTTGGGCGACGAGTGAAATTCTGTCTCAATTCGTCTGACTTCTACCTCCCTTGCTATCCTCCTTCCTGTCATTCTCTCAGCCACAACATGTGCCCCAGAGCCTGCTGGATGCTGGGCTCTTTCTACCCAGCGTCCTTGCATTGCTCTTCTTTTTTGCTCCCTGGTCCCAGCCCTTCCTTTCCTCTCCACTTCATTTGCATTTTCCAAGTATCTCTCTGTTCCCGCTCATTCCTTGGCTGAATCCCTCTCAGGCCCCTAAACCGTATTGAGGTGCTCCTTCCTGTGTGTGTGTTTGTACCTCATATACACCTTAGGTCTAGCTTGTTTCACTCTTACTGTAATTCTTTGAAAATCTCTCTCTCTAATTTATAAGCTGCTTGACTCAATGATTGTAGCGGCACATATTTGTAACACCGTTGTCTGAGGTAATTCCTGGCACGTGTATGTAGTCGCCCCTGCATAAACACTGAATAAAATTTTAAACGTATTTCTCTATGCTTTTCAAGGAGTTTCCTATATACTTTCTCATTGTGCCTCATCACTAAGAAGGAAATAGGACCAGTGTTATTAGCCTCCTTTTACAGAGAAGGAAACTAATGCTTAGGAAACTTGAGGTTTAAAGGCGCAGCGCTCAGTTTTTGGAAGGGCCAAACTAGGTCTTCTGACTGAAGTGTCTTAATGTGTGGGGAAGCTCTTTGTGTTATAAACTATGAAATACCGTAATCATTGAGGCCTGCGCAGGCCCCAACCTGTCCATGGTTTGGGGCTGCTATCTGCCTCATAAAGCAAAGTGGAGGGTTTGTCTTTTGGAAAAACAAAGTCGTTTTCTCCTCTGAAAAAGCCTCCTACATAGTTGGCTTTGTCATTTGCCAAGAATAAGAGGGCACAGATTGAGGCCTCATGAGTCTGGGTTTTCAGTTGAGGTTGAAGAGAGAAGACAGGGATTGTAACCAGAAAATTCAGAATGGAATGTAGTTCCCTCCAGAACTCCTGGGCTTCATGGCAGTCGTAGAAGTGGATTCCTTTTGGTTTCCCCTCACCCCACAACATACTGTAATAATGCATAATACAGTTAGTAGTCCCCTACTCAAGCTATAATCCCTAGGTTTGAATTTACTTGACTTTATTGTGAATTGTTCCTCAAAGATCCCTCAGTGATTATGTTAAATTCTACAACATTATTGTAATGGCTTAGAATGATCCTTCATTTAGTGTAAGACTATTATGAGTTTTAAATGATTTATTGAAAGCCCACTGTGTATGCCCACTATTTTATACTTGGGAGGGAGACAACAGAAGTGTAAAACTATTTTCAGGGGCATATTAATCTTATTGAAGAAATTAGACTGTTTTACATGAAAGCAATTAATGAAGTAGAGAAAATGGAATCCAGTGCTAATCTCTGGTCAGAATATTATGTTATTAATGAACGAGGCAGATGAGTAGAATATAGAATCATAAAATTGTCAGAAAAATATCTGAAGATTTCGATGGCCTTGGCTATCTAAGGGAATTTTCATTGTTTTGGAAAGCTTATGATAAGTTTGATTACACGTGTTCTTTGTAAATAGGGTGACCACATGATTTCTCATCCAAAACACTTGCCTGTGAAAGAAGGCCTGTTAATAATTACATTGGGACAACAGGAGTGAAGTAGAATGAATGTTCCCCATACTTACAAAGAATATGATTCAATTTACACAAAATAAGGGACGGGAGAGGATGTGTCTGATTTCTGTTCATCCCCTCTTGGCTTTTAGCACAGTGCCTTACACAGCTAAATACTTATTGAGATTAGCAATATTAAGTCTGAGCATGATGGCTCATGCTTGTAATCCCAGTACTTTGGGAGGCTGAGGCAGGTAGATTGCTTGAGCCCAGGAGTTCATGACCAGCCTGGGCAACAGGGCAAAACCCGTCTCTATTAAAAAAAAAAAAAAGAAAAAAATTAACCAGGCATGGTAGCTCTGCGCCTGTAGTCCCAGCTACTTGGGGGAATGAGGTAGGAGGATCAGCTGAACCCAGGGAGGTCGAGGCCACAGTGAGTCATGATTGCACCACTGCATTCCAGCCTGGGCAACAGAGAGACCCTGTCTTAAAAAAATAAATAAAACAATATTTAACAACTAGTACCCATTTATAGTTCCTATTTCACATTTTTTATCTTTGTAGTGTAAGTGTAATATAATTTAAGTGATGTTAGTTAAATGTAGAGAAAGTTTATTGGAGTTGAAATACATTGATTACCAGCTTCTTTTTATTCCATTCTAGGTTCAATACATTTTAGTAGCTTTTGGAATTTAAAATGATGATGAGGCACAACTTACCTCATTTCAAAATGAAAAAGCCTCCAAGGTAAAGAGGATTTGCTGCTAAGGTATCTAAGCATCTCTCTCCTGGTGGCAGCCTACATACAGTCTTTGAACTTGGGGGAGTCTGTACTTGATTTTAGTAAGACTGTGCTGCTGTGAGCATGGCTACCCAACAGGGCTCCAAGAACAATTTCTATCTGAAAACCACAATAACAAACTTGTTGACTTTTTAAAAATATATATATTTAAATGTGACATATGTTTTGACATTTAACTTTTTAAGCTTTATATTAGGAAAAATGTCATCAGTCATCCTGTGTGATGACAGCCAGCAGGCTAGTGAATGTCTCTTCAGACCCACAAGGTCTGGCTTGCTGTGGCATCGGGCTGTCATTAAGAAGGAGAGTATTTTTGTAATCCCAGCACTTTGGGAGACCGAGGCGGGCGGATCATGAGGTCAGAAGATCGAGACCACCCTGGCTAACATGGTGAAACCCCGTCTCTACTAAAAAATACAAAAAATTAGCTGGGCACAGTGGCAGGCACCTGTAGTCCCAGCTACTCAGGAGGCTGAGGCAGAAGAATGGCGTGAACCCGGGAGGCGGAGCTTGCAGTGAGCCGAGAATGCCCCACTGCCCTCCAGCCTGGGCGACAGAGCAAAACTTTTTCTCAAAAAAAAAAAAAAAAAAAAAAAAAGATACTGAAGTGCAACTCATAATCCAAGTGTGTAATTAAATTTTCCTTTCCTCTAGTTTATGCAGGTTTTGCAGTAAGGAAAGGAAATACTCTGAAAAGGAGGGAACTTGTTTGGAATTCCTTTGCCAGCAGAATGAACAAGGTCATAATCCTATAGTGCAAAATATTCATAGCACTATCCGCAAAGTTATTTAATTACGAGTCTAAGTGCACTGGAGGGCACTTGGTTTTTAGGCAGGTTAGAAGTGTTTCATTCAGTACTGCATGTTAAAGTTAGGATTACTTTAACAATATTTAGCACTCTCTATGTGTTAACATTTTCTATTTTGGAATGTATGTCCTCTTCATATATAGTGACTAGGATGTTATGATTAAAGATATCCTTATCTTTTTCAAAGTGAAATTGAATAGATTAATATGTAAATCACTGTTGACCATCCTTTTGGGTTCCTGTCATGAGTCAAAGTATCTCTTCCACTCTAGTCCAAGTGCAGGCAAAGTAATCAGAGAAATAAACACCTTCTCAAGGAACAGGCCTCACAGACTAAAACCTACACAATGGCAGAATCGCACTGTGGTGTTAAATGGCATTCCTGTTAAGTTGGGTACAAATATATACAGATGTGGAATAAATGATTTCTAGGTGTTAAATTAAGGTAGGGTAGGTGTGAGGTGCAGATTGGCCACCTGCTGGTATTTACCAGGTCTTTGTGCTTTGTTTGCTTTGGCAGTATTACTTATTTTTGGCCTCATGCATTCCTTCATGTGTTTGTTCATGTTATTCAGTACGGAATACGTAATCAGCACAGTGTACAAAACAGCAGCCAAGGAACCTTCGAGTCATCAGATAATCCCACTGTATTTTGTTTCATTGTGAGCCCAATTTTAGTCATGGCTGAGTTATTCTGAGGTCTGGTCTATCTTAACTCCATTTGAGGAATATTATGTTGCCTTTCCTTTGTTATACTGCCTGTTAGTGTGGCTGTTTATTATAACACCAGTGACTCACTGCTTTCTTAAAGTGATTTCACTAGTAGATAGTCATCCCTGTGAACAGACTGTTACCCAAGATTATTAAAATCCTTTGTAATATTATGTGCTTCTTGACTGTAAGATTGTTATCAACTGAAATACTTTTGTTCTGAAGTTTGGAGCACCATTGGAGGCATGTGGTACTTTTATAAGGAAAGGAAAAATAAAAGAAATAACTGCAAAATAGTCCAGGAGGCCTGGCCGTAAAGAATGTCCCAAAGGCGGCAGCGTGGTGCCAGTTGGAAAGGTAACAAAGCAGCGTGTCACCCTGATCTGGAACGGGTCACTTAAAGTGTTTCTCACATGACTTCATGGAAAATTAGTGATTCAGAATATTATCTGCTTGGCTTTAAAGTTCAAAGTCATGATAGAGTGCCAATATAAATTAAAAGGAATTATTAGGCAGAAAGAGCCAAGCACCACTATAGACACACTGGCACGCAGACCGACATGAAGCAGGAAATGGTAACTAGAACAATTGCATTATTTCCTGTTGTAAGAAAGGAAAAAGAACTTTAGCTAGAAAGGGATGGTGGAAAAACAGTGTTGTAAGTGAAGTAGTCCAGGGGATCCCATCAGAAATGTTTTTAAAATATGTAAATTTGGTGAGGGGAGAAATCTGTTCATTTCTTTGTTTACAGGAAGTTTATATAGGGAATGTCTTCCAAAAAAGTAGCAGAGTTAAGAAGTCAAGGTCATTCATAATTATCTCAGACTCAAAGGGACACGTTCCAAAGTTTAAACTGTAAAAAGAGGTGAAAGTGGTAACCGTAACCTCATCCTTTTTGAAAAACTCTGTGAGTTTCTGGCAAAAGTTTCCTGAGGGAAAATGAATAAATGTAGTCTCTAAAATAGATCATCTAAAATTATTGTAAAATGGATCATCTAGCTAAAAATTGTTGGAATAGGGGCCTGGGCACGGTGACTCACACCTGTAACTCAGGCACTTTGGGAGACCAAGGCTGGTGGATCACTTGAGGCCAGGAGTTCAAGACCAGCCTGGCCAACATGGCGAAACCACGTCTCTACTAAAAATACAAAAAATTAGCCAGGCGTGGTGGTATGTGCCTGTAGTCCCAGCTAATCGGGAGACTGAGGCAGGAGAATCACTTGAACCCAGGAAGTAGAGGTTGCAGTGAGCCCAGATCATGCCATTGCACTCCAGCCTGGGCAACAGAGTAAGACTCCATCTCAAAAAAAAAAAAAAAAAAAAAAAAAATCATTGGAATAAATTAGGAATTGTTAGAAGCTTTAGGAGCTCTTGGAATAAAAACTGTTTTGTACTGTGGGTCTGTTGATAATCCTGACACTGGAGACTCCAAATGTAAAATGTTTAAGTTGGAGAATATTTGTTTTGCTGTGTTCTGTGTGTTATTATTGTTTTAAATAATAGGCCTGTGAGCAACATATACTAGTCCTCTGTGACAGCAAATGCTGTTCTGAAATACAAATATCACAGATAACATTGCCCTTTTTACCTAGTTTAAAATCTGTGTGAACAACTTGAATATAAACAAGCATTAGTACTCTGTTGTTTGGAAGTGCTTTACCAAAAAGCTGAGTGGAGAATTACCTGAAATGAAAGAGCCATGAAAGGACTAAAATGGAAAGAAAGAGGTCAGATTTGAATCATCATATATTTCAGCAGCTAACATGAAATCAAGTTGGAGTAAAACCTATTACTACATCTGTTTGCTTTAACTATCAGCAAAGAGATTTGTCGAAGTTGATTTTGAATTTTATCCATTCATTCATTCATTTTTGGTAAGAAAGCTCCCATTTCTTGTTAGATTTGCAGCTGTGTTTATTACTGGTTGAGCTTTTAATAAATCGTACATTTTCTTTTGAAGTCCTTGGTGCAGTTTACATATGGTAAAGATTTAGAGAACAAAATGCTCCTTTACAAAATATTTTTCAAAATATTTTTGAAATATAGACTGATGCTCAGTTTAGTCCACAAATGATTAAGTGCTGCCTATGAAAACACACCTGACAGGGGATGCTCCTTTCAGTTTGAATCTACCAGTTAGCCTAATGTAATTCTTTACATGTGAAACCATGAATTTTCTTAATAAACATTAAACTTTTACATTAAAAAAGACATTCTTGGCCAGTTTTCTTGACTGATGTGTTCTTTATCTCTGTGCCATGGACTGACTGTGTTATAGACGAGACAGTTATAGTAACATCTTTCTAAGTAGACACAACCTACACACCTTAAACAGATGAATATGTTTTTATGATGTGCTAGAGCAGCTTGTGTGTGGGATTTCAATAAGTATCACTAAAACCCGGAACTTACATTTTTATGAAACAGAAGCAGTGAAGATTCTCCCTGCTAACAAGTTAAGTAAACTGAGCCAACAAATATGATTCCAAATGAACATGTAATGAGAAAATACTGCCTACTTTTTAATTGTATTGTTAATATCCTTTTGTATTCTGTAATAATGATTGCATGTAGAGTGATTTGTCCTTCACCTTTGGTGATCTGGTAACTTAGCAGAATGTTTGCCTGTAGAACAAGTATGTGCTAAATTCTGAAAAGCAAAGGACATCCATCTCACTAAAAATGTCTCCCAACAAGCAGGCAGCTGGTGGGTTTGTACCGCTTGCGGGGCGACTGAGTTCTTTCTTTCTGCAAACACTCCTGTCAGTGTTATAGAGACTTGCACTATCTGTTTAGTGAATGTGACTTAGGAGAAGGAACTACACTGCCCATTCATGGGTCATGGCTGCAAGTTACTGCCCTGCTGGTTTTCTCTTTACCTGATAACTCTCAATAATTCCAAAATTTATCTTAGAGAAAAGTCTTTGAGTCACCTACTTCGGAATTTGAGCCCAGTGAAATGATAAGCACCTGCAGTTTGTATCAATCTACCTCTAACCAAATCTCTGAGCATTCTTGTAGCTTGATAGCAAATTGGGTGAACTGCTACATTCACTAAAAGACTGAGTTCAGCTTTATTGCAAACAGAATTACGAAAGTCTGTTCTCATGCATTTACTCAGCCTCCTTCATCTGAGTCACACGCCACTAGCAATAGCCCCCCCTTATATTAAGCAATATTCACTTGAAATGGATCATTTCCTTTTTTTAGGTTTACTAAAAAATACTAGAGAAAGAACTGTATCTTAATCTATCTTCCTTTCCAATGAAGTAAAAAACAAATTCTTTGACCTCCAAATCCTCAGTTAATGTAAATTTTGCATTTGTTGAAAACTTGATATTTCCCAGGAAGCACATCTGGTTTTGAACTGAACATAGCATTGAACATGAAGAACTTTTACAAGTCAGTGTTCATTGGGCTGAAACTTTTACTCCTATCTGAATATGTTGGCTTTTGAGAACTCTTGGGGGATTGATGTTGTTGTTGTTTTTCAATTTCTACCTCCTACTTAAGTGGTATTAATAGTTGTGCTTATGTAACATCTGTGTTGTGTGTGTATGTTTTTAATCTCTACTTAGGTTGACCTGACAGTTCAAGAAAAGGAGAAATACCTTAATGTGTCTCGCTGGTTTTGTCACATTCAGCATTATCCAGGCATCAGGCAACATCTGTCTAGTGTTGTCTTCATCAAGAACAGACTATATACTAATTCCCACTAGAAGCTGTCCATGCCATACAGAAGATCTATTAAAAATGTTTTCAATGGAAAATGTACTCCGGGCCACAGGACTAATGTAAATTAATATACAGTCCTTCATTATTTGTTGAAGTTGATAGAATTTTTGAAGTGTAAACTTGTGTCTGAATGTTTTATTTGTTCTTTAGTTGAAGTTTTGCAATTTTTATGTCAAAATTCAATTGCTCTTAAACAAGTTGAGATAAGTTATAAATTAACCTTGTTTTTAATAGATGACATTTATTTCAATAAAAGTTGCAAATCAGGGGCTTAATCTTAAAAAAAATTGGTGGTCCTTTCAATGGTTGACATATTTGGCTATTTATTAATCTCTCTTTCATATTCTAAAATTCATTTTCCCCTTATGGATATTTATGGTAGTTTGTTAAGAACTGTGATAAATTGTGCCAAGGAAACAGGGAAGACAGATGGATTTGTTTTAAATATTTATGTGAGCTAGTAAATGTGGTTGAAAAAATATTTCTTGGTTGTTTCTTTCTTTCTGTAGTCAGTGTTCATTGGGGTGAAACTAACTACTGAACTGCCCTATGGGAAACTGGAGGAAGATACATTCTTCCAGTTCCTCTTGAGTTAATGATTCTTTTCTGTTGTTAGGCTTATTGTAATATGCAGTGGTCAAAAAGAGATGGGAAATTCTTCCTCCTGTAAGGAGGAAAATAAATATAAAAATGGAGATGGGAAAGTCTTACTGTCCTACTAATTTTGGATTTTTAATTACTAGATTTTTTCTAAACTGAAAGCCAACTCTCATGGAAAGAACTGCTGTTAAAGTGCTGTGTGAAGAACGGAGGCACTTCATTAGAAGATCTGTATATTTTATAACTCTTGCTGGTTGAATAAATAATAGTTATTGTAGCGCTAAAGACCTTATCTTTACAAATAATGAGAAAAATGGGGTCTTCGGGAGCTGTCCCGTTTAATGCTACTTAATGTTTTCATGTTGATGCTAAGTCTGACCAGTGGACCCATCAAAGTTCTAGCAGCAAGAGCAGATACTTGGGAAATACACAGCACTCAGGTTGAGTCCTGTTTTTATCACTTAGTAGCTGTATGACTTTAAACAAAGCAGTTAATCACGTTTTCTTAATCTCCAAAAAAAAAAAGATAATGCTGAATTAGGAGGATTAATGTGGACAACATGAAGAAAAAAGCCTAATACGTAGCTCTTGGCCATCAGTAAGGTTAGTTTCCTTTCTCTTCTCCAGGCAAATCATGATTTTGTTGTTTATAACAAAACGAGGATTGTAACAGGCCCCCATTTTTGCCTCTCAAGTTACTGAGTCAGGTGGCTTAACAGGCCAGGTGTGTGAACACGGCACACCTCATTTTACTGCATCTTCAACACATTGAAGGTTTGTGGCAACCCTGCTTCGAGCGAGTCTGTTGGCACCGTTTTTCCATCAGCTTATGCTTGCT